CCTTCAGTGGTGACGTGACCAAAAAACATGGCGTGCATTTACGACAAACGAATGAAATATTGTGAAACACTTGGAACCTGTCAGCTTCAGCGGGGCGCGTCGATAGAAAGCGGTCGGGTGCCTTTTTGGAATGGTGTCGGTCAAACTACTCTCTCCGCTTCTTCGTCAACTTTGTGGTTTTGCCCTTATTGGTAATCTCGCTTCCGATTCCGCCTCCGCTTCTGCTAGATCTTGGATGTATTGGGGTACTGGATCGTTTTGAAAGACTATTTGAAGGATTTTGTGGGATCCAGTAGCCATTGTACATCTTTGCTGAGTGGGCTTCAGTACGCCACATTGTTTCTTTGACGCCTTTGGGCAAGTTGGCGATACGTCAGTGCCGTTGCACAAGCTGGCGATAATTCCGTACCTTTACGCAAGCAGACATTTGTCGGCGACATATATTTGGCGATATCATGTGGTTTTAGAACCGATTTCTTGGAGAGTTATCGTCAACAGTGTCTTATTTTTGCAAGCGCTATGTCAAAGGCGAGGGTCAGTTAATAGTTCTTGCCGTGCCCGTCAAGTTTTGAACTGCCTTCCCCGCCATGTTCGTTTTAAACATCGATGTCTTGGCCTGAAGTATTTGAAAATACGTAGGAACGAGCCGATCATCCCTCAAAGTTTTGACAACCCTAATGCTATCGCTTTTGACACAAAAGACTGCTTACAAATTAATTTTATCTTAGATATTGAAACTATATCAATTCTTATCCTGCATTTTTAACGGGAATTATGGTGCAACACTATGGGCTGGGCAAGGCATTGGCGGGCATGCTGAAAGAATGCGATAGTCCAAACCGAATGTAAAGTTACTACCTCACTAACCACGAACATCACATGAACACTGCGCACGAACATTGAACGAGCACTGCGCACGAACATTGCCTGAACGTCGTTAAAGGCCCGTAATGACATATTCGATATGATATCTCCGTGCAACGCATGGGAAACAGAACACTATCGTCGGGCTCATGGCCCAGTCTGCTTCACTCGTGGCCATGAGCACAGCCTGTAAGGTCGAGAATAATCAAAATATCGCCAATGTTTGCTTAATCACGTCGTTCAACCTGCACCAGCAGGTATCTTGAGAGGCTATGTTGTTAGTACATTGTAAGCATAACAGTTCCCAATCGCAAAATGAAGTGTGATAAGGAAATGTGCTCGTGGAAATTCCTTGCAATGTTGAGAGAGAGAGAGAGAGAGAGAGAGAGAGAGAGAGAGAGAGAGAGAGAGAGAGAGAGAGAGAGAGAGAGAGAGGAGAGAGAGAGAGAGAGAGAGAGAGAGATTGTGTGTGTGTGTGTGTGTGTGTGTGTGTGTGTGTGTGTGTGTGTGTGTGTGTGTGTGTGTGTGTGTGTGTGTGTGTGTGTGTGTGTGTGTGTGTGTGTGTGTGTGTGTGTGTGTGTGTGTGTGTGTGTGTGTGTGTGTGTGTGTGTGTGTGTGTGTGTGTGTGTGTGTGTGTGTGTGTGTGTGTGTGTGTGTGTGTGTGTTGTGTGTGTGTGTGTGTGTTGTGTGGTGTGTGTGTGTGTGTGTGTGTGTGTGTGTGTGTGTGTGTGTGTGTGTGTGTGTGTGTGTGTGTGTGTTGTGTGTGGTGTGTGTGTGTGTGTGTGTGTGTGTGTGTGTGTGTGTGTGTGTGTGTCAATCCGAGCCACTTCGAGCCAATTCCTAATCTGATTAACAGATGTAGTCAACAATACAATACAATACAATACAAGGTCACAGAACGCGTTCATTTGGCTACACCACTGCTCGTAGATCGTGCAAATAAATGTTCAATCATGGTGATCAGGGCGTCTTACATAATTTGTCAGGGATCACTTAACCGCGATTGCTAGAATTACCGACATTTCCACCAGGGTAGCGATCCACACTTCCACAAGTACTTAAGAACATTGACGCGGTATTTGCATCCGCATCACTGTGCTCGTGGTGGAGCATTGGATGCACCACAGCTATACCGCGATTTATTTTATCATCTTGCTGTTACAGATCACCACCAGAATCCAGTTCACCAAAACTGACTAAATGGTTGGGCTCATCTCGCTTCAGTCTGTCTTTTCAGTGTCGGTATCAATCACCTGGCCATCTTGTTCCCACTCCATATAAGCTCGTGAGATACCGAGCTCGCTTAAATGACGAGGCCCCAGTGAACATTGGCTTGATAGTTCCCGTTATATGGAGTCACGCGAAACAGCCTGGTCAGGACGTGGTCGGGAGCCCTGGCCGAGGAGCTACACACCTTAGCTTGCTGCGCTGTTTTACCCGACCGTTCCTCAAAGATGTTGCATCCAGGAAGGTGGGAGACACACCCGCACTGGCTTCAGTACACCGTCCTCGGCTACACTGATGTGACCATTTCGTCTCGTCGGGTGATCAGCCTGACCGGAGCCCAATCTAAGTGTCGAATGGGGCCCCAAAAGGTCGAAGGGCTCGCTTGGGGTAAGTTCCCCGGATAGCAGCAACCGTGATACAAAAAAGAAAGTGGTTATCCGAGGGTGTAGTTTGAATCCGTCTGGTGCTTCCGAAGTCATGAATTAGTTCTTACTCAGAGTGCTTCTATTGACGTCAAACGCGATGGATCGTTCCCGAACAGCTTATCTCCTAGGTTGATGTTTATTCATTCATTCATATATTCCTTGATGTTAATAATGATTCCTTTTACCAAACGTGTCCAACTACACGCAGTCCGCCACGTCCGTTACCACGCGTGCTGCCGTCCCTACGTCAAACGTGTACCTGCGGTGACGTCACAAAACTTTTTTGTTGAGAATTTCGTAAGAGAGACAGCCGCACCTGGTTTATATTGCCTCGGTAAGTGGTATATCTCTGAGGTAGGATGATAGGATGCCCCCCCCCCCCCCCCAGGGGCCATCCTCGCAGCTTGAGAAATTGGTCGGGCTGGCGGCTCGTTAGCGGTAGGCGGTGACGTCACAAAGTCGCAATGGCTCGCGCGGTGGCGTTGCATGGCAACGTCGACTGCGTCGCTTGGAAAGCAGTAGTCACGCAGAAGTGCTGTGGTTGGTCTTGTTCATCATCGTCAAGGCCGTATAATGTCAATGTCATGCATCAAATGTAATATCGTGATTATCGTGCAGTGTGGCGCCAAGTTTGTATTGTTATGCGGTGCGTGTGAGTGATGTCTGAGGGACGTCATGTTCGCTGACCGTTTGACAGTACCGCATAGCCGTTGACAAACTGACACATGATCCGAACGACAGAATATATTTAATATCTGTAAACGGGGAAAGGTGAGCAAATTACTCCATAATTCGTATGCGGTGTCGGGTTGTTTCAGTATTGTGCATCGAACTATTAGTTTGTAAATAACGACAACAAAAATGCTACTAAAGGTACGTTCAGCATTTTTTATCCCGGGCTCAAAGCGATGAAAAGAAGAAAAAAGTGTCTTAGATGCGACTTTGAATGGTGCCTGAACCAAGTTACAAGCAAGGATCTGTAACAGTGAATCAGTCATGGCTTGGTTTGAAAAGCATGCCAACGCATGTCGCCCCTGGCCAGGTGGGCCTGGGCCCGCAGCGGCGGGCGACGGGGCTTGGGTCTGCTCCATCGTCGCGATGACGAGCCGGCGGAAAGCGCTTACCAGTTTCACATGCAAATCGAGGACCACGTGACTGGCGGCGGGGTTGCACTATCAGCAGGACTGAACCGTCGAAAAAACCGCAAAAAGCGATCCAGTCGCTTATTTGCCAACCTTTGAGCGGCTCCAAAATATGGACAACTTGGAACAGGTCAAATGTCAGGAAAAGTTCCCGGAGCACGAACAATCAGTTTGCAGGCAACCACGCGTTCGAAGGCTATCGAACACATCACCACAAATTTGGACCGTTGATGCCCCATAGTTGATATCATATTCTTTTTAGAACGTGGCGACCGTGCGTCAGGTCAAACGTCGCCAAAAATGCCCGAAACCACCAAAATTGGCTGCATACAGACCCACGTTCCGAGCCTATGGGACCGATCGGTCCAAAACCTTTAGCAAACGATGCGTCGTAGTCGATAACAGATCCTTTCCGTAACTGCACCATGTGTGTACCATACCGCGTATGTAGAAATCGGGGCGGGGGTGTACATGGACATGGACACCCAGACACCCATCATCAAGCTGTGGCAACGCATGAAAAGAATTGATTGCAACATTGTTTCTGCCTTCCCCACATTTGAGGACATTCCTCTGCCCATGCACTAGACCCCCGTGAGGCACCACCGAACCGTAGTTCGGGAGGAAAGTATTGAGGAAGGCGATGAACCAGCCCCGAACACCGCTGCCGATACCCGTAGACGGACATCAGTCCGTCCCCTTTCTGGTAATGGCGCGAAGCGGGCTCCACCCTGGTTTGTGGCGCCCACGGAAGGCGGCAGTCCCAGGTTCTGTCCCAGTGTGTGGTCAAAAGCCGCTGAAACCGTCTGTCGCAAGGTCCAGCCGTCGGACAGAATGATGGGAGTCGAATCCTGGTTTTAAAACGGATTACGTGTGCTTAACATTGGACGCAACACGCACATAGCATTACTGTCTGGTAACACCTCCGTCATCGACCTTTCTGCGTGGATTTCATCACACGCTACACCATTTTCTGGGAGGTGGTCACTGCCCGAGTGGAAGTACCCACTTTCCCATCTGGTTACGTAAAACGTTCCGTGGTCGGGACTCCGGCCGACTCGATAGGATCCTCGGAGGGCCGGCTGAAAGAAGTTTTCCAATGAGTGCAGCATGGCTATCGCACCAAGGGCGGGGCAAGCGCGCAGCTTCCGGCGCAGACTCCACGTGAAAAGAAGCAAACGTTTGTAATTCGTCGGAATGACTGATGTATCTGTAAGTTTATGTTGTAGATTAAATTTTTGTTGGATTGTTATGTAAAAACTTACTTGTTTTTCAGTAAATTCAACTAACGTTTTTACAATATTGACCACCATGCCCGGTCAGAAAACAGGAGTATTATAGGGACATCTTATTATCTTGGCGTAAGAATATTGTATTTATGATAAAGCGGTATCTGTGGCTTGCAGTATGCTGGCAGAGCCCCATATCTCAACATATCTGCACAGCATCGCAGTCCTGGCGATTCTTCGTACTGTTAGAACCGCAAGCCTCCCTCCATTCCAGCCTCCCCCCACCCCCGCCCCCCCCCCCCCCCTCCTAGTCACCTGTCTCTGAGTATTTTCTTTCAGATTAGAGTAAAAGGAGTTGAGCGCCCATAGTTGTCATGAGAATTAAAGGGAAGAAAATGTAGCCTACATGGCACATTTTGTAAAAGTGGTGTCATGCAACAAGTTAAGAGGGCAGGACTTCAAGATCTGGCTGGGCTAGTACTTTACCTGATTTAAATATTGCATGCCCGACCCTCTTTAAACACGTGAATATTTATCTGTTTTCATGTTCTATTCCTCGTGCTATCAGAACTGTTCACTTTGGGACCATTTTGGCTACCGCTCACTCCCAACACTTTTACAGGTCCTGATGTCGCGCCTGATGTCAAGCCAGATCCGCTGGCATTATCACCTCCACAAGGGGCTGTCTTCAGTGCTATTGGTGGCTCAACTGGGGTATTAGGTACGAATTCAGAACTGTTATGAAAAGCGGTCGTATCGTTATCAGTATGACCGTGACTAAGAACTACGCACTATTTTTGATTCGGCGAACGGAACGCCGTCAGGGATGACAGCTACCTGCTGTTTGCGTCGTACGCAGTGCATTATAATTACGTTAGTAATCCACGACTCGCTTGCGTTCATCATAAAGCTAGAGGCTGTCTCCCAGTACCCCCAGCCCTATCGAAGTGGCTGTAAAAGATGATACGCCTTATGGCGATATTTTGTCATCTATAATGCTGATTTTTCAGACGTTCCTCGTGTTGTCAGGTCTGATCCTTTGTCATTGTCGGCTTGAGATGAGGATCTGCTGAAGGCAGCTAATGGCTTCCCATCTCGCACGGCAGGTATGTGTTCTTAACATTGTCCGTTGATGCCATGATTGCTATCCGTTCATGTCACGATTCGTGCTGACAGCCACAAATACGTCACTGTCAAATTTGTCTTGACCCTGAATATACTTTGGGCGTTGAGCACGTCCAATAGGTTTGACTCTATACTTCCATACATTTTTAGTCGGCTTGAAATAAGGCGCCGCGAAAAAATGCGCCGAGCTCGATCTCGAAAGAAACTGAAGTCTTCAGATGGTCGTTACTCTGGAGTGGTTGGAATCTTCCCAAAAATGGCTCTTAGTTTCGTCGCTAGCTCTTTCACTGGAATGAACCATCTGTTTCCCAGCCTGGAGTTGGCACTTCTATAGGGCAGCGTACCCGAATCACTTATCATTCGGCTGCTTCCTGAAATGTTATTCTTTTCCGCAGGATCGGTCCGAAGCACGTCGGTGGCGCAGTCACCTCTATGACTTCTCCAAATTTGGTCAAGGTCCGGTGGACGTGTCCGTGCTTGATGTCACTGCAATGCAACTTTGTCCATTAGATTTACGTTGGCAATGCACCTGAAAGCATGGCGAACGTCGGCGCTCATGGTCTAACACTAGACACATGTTTTCAGATGCTGTTCTGCTGTGCTGTGAATACTGCAAGTTCGAACGTTCCGATCAAGATGGTGTGTCAGAGCAAGCAAAATGTCACCACCAAGACAAGTCGCTTGGCTCGGCTTTTCCAGCTCAACGGATTGTTTCCAAAAAGCATCGCGTGCAAAGTCAGGCCGAAAAGTTTGACCGCTTGACGAATCCAACGTTTTGCGACATTTTGTTCGAGCGAAGCGATACCCTCGCGTTGCATGTTCGGATCCACACAGGCCATAAGCCGACTGATCACAGGAACCACGCCGGCAGCAAGCCGCTCAAGTGTAAAGTCTGTGGGAAGTTACTGAGATGCCGTCGTAGTTTGACCGAACATAGTCGGACGCACACTGGTGAAAAGCTTTCCAATTGTGAAATCTATGGGAAGGCGTTTAGTCGACATGACAATCTCGCTAACCACCTCCGGACTCACACAGGTGAAAAACCGTTTAGTTGTGAGGTCTGTGGGAAAACGTTCAGTCATCATGGGAGCCTTACTCGCCACCTCCAAAGTCACACAGGTGAAACACCATTTAGTTGCGAGGTCTGTGGGAAAGCGTTCAGTTTCCATTGGAGCTTTACTCGCCACCTTCGGACTCACACAGGCGAAAAACCGTTTAGCTGTGAGGTCTGTGGGAAAGTGTTCAGTCAACATGGGAACCTTACTCGCCACCTCCGAAGTCACACAGGTGAAGCAGCATTTAGTTGCGAGGTCTGTGGGAAAGTGTTCAATCAACATTGGAACCTTACTTATCACTTCCGGGCTCACACAGGTGAAAAACCGTTCAGTTGTCAGGTCTTCGGTAAAGAGTTCATTCAACAATGGAGCCTTAGTCGCCACCTCCGGACTCACACAGGTGAAAAACCGTTCGGTTGTGAGGTCTGTGGGAAAGCCTTCAGTCAACATCATAGCCTTACTCGCCACCTCCGGACTCACACAGATGAAAAGCCGCTCAGCTGTGAATTCTGTGGGAAGGCGTTCATTCAACATCGGGGCCTTGCTCGCCACCTCCGGTCTCACACAGGTGAAAAGCCGTTTAGTTGTGAGATCTGTGGGAAGGCGTTTAGTCAACATGGACACCTTGCTCACCACTTCCGTACTCACACAGGTGAAAAACCATTCAGGTGCGAGGTCTGTGGGAAGACGTTCAGTCTAAATGGAGCTCTTAATAAGCACCTCCGTACTCACACAGGTGAGACGCCGTTCAATTGTGAAGTCTGTGACAAGTCGTTTAATCAGATAGGGACCCTAACAAAGCATCTTCGGACACACACCGGTGAGAAACCGTTTAGTTGTCCTGTCTGTGGGAAGGCCTTCAGTACCAATTGGAACCTTACGGTGCACATTCGGAGACATACCAGTAAGAAACCATTCAGTTGTGGAATTTGTGGGAAAGCGTTCCATAGAAGGCAGAGCCTTACAGTGCACGTCAGTTCACATCGATGAAAAATCACCTAGGTGTCATAACACCCGCTCTAGTGTGAGTCAATTCGACCTCTCGAATGTTTGTTCCAAATCAGCTTATGAACGGCGCAACACAACTGCGCTAAACTCGCAACAGTTGTAGCCAAGTAAAAATACAATTTGATGGTACTAATAAGATAAGACACATCTTGTAAGGTCGTCTACCTGACAAAGTCAGGCTAGAGGCGTTACGGAAGACAACTCCCCGGGAATCCTTAAATCCTGGGCAACAGCGGAGTGTTACACGACGGCATACATCTCCGAGACGATTTTGTTTGATACTATTTCCTTGACTCAACGATTACGACCAATTTTTTTACCTTGAGTGAGAGATGAAGGTCAGGTGCGAGGCCGAATTCAGTTTCGTTTCTTACTGGACTTGTTGATTTGTGGGATAGTTTTTCAAGTTCATTTCGAGTTTCTGGATTACAGATAGGTGAACAAATGTGTTGCTAAATTTCAAAAGTTCTCAAAAATCCACTGACCTAGAATGACCCCGATCAAATTTATGTGCTTATGAACATGCTTCTTAGCATAGTTGGCGCCACTTGGTATTTAAGAATTAAAAGAATATAGCAGCCTTCTGATTTTGGACTTTTAAAGGCCAAACAAGGTCATTAACGGGAATCAACAATATTGATTTTTATTAGTAGAATTATCCAGGTTAACAGTGGTAGCATGGGAAAGTTTGAAGAACCTTTGGGCACCGCTCATGAGTTTTGTCTTACTTGCCATGATTCGACCTTGATATCATGACCTAGGGACCTAGGAAATGGACCCCGAGGTGGAAAATTGATCCCTCCCTTGCGGGAGTGGTGCCTTACTTAGCCGGTCGCCCGCTCGCGTGTCAATGACCGAAAACGTGTTGCTACGACGAGTGATATGCATGCTTTCATTCGTTACTACGTAGTTGAAATGCTGGTCGAGGAGCTTGTCATAGCGTATGCCTGTGGAAAGATGCGATCTTTTATGAAATATGTTGTGAAATATGTAAATATTGAGAAATATGTAAACATTGTGAAATATGTCTGGATGGTAAAATATGTAAGTGCTATAAAATGTGTCGAAAATTGGTCGAATGTTCCGATCAAGATGGTCTCGGAGCACCCGAAATGCTCGGAGAAATCGGCTGGCTCGGCCTTGCCGCATCATAAGACCGTTGCAAGCAAACAATGTGTTCAAACTCACGCTGATGCGTCTGACCGCCCGATAAAGTCGTTTCGATATGACGTGCAACACTTGGTTTGTGTGAAGTTTAATGCGTAACGCTGTAATGCTGTGTGCTGTAGCGCCGTGTTTGCTTCGTAGTTTATCCGTGAGGCGAGGTCATACAAGTTGTCTGTTTGTCGGTGCTCGCAACTCGCTTGCGCAATTTATACCTTGCTGTCCCGTCGTAGTTCGTCTGAGTTGTTCACTTCATCTGCTAACCTATCTGCTGTGCTTCATAACGCGTCTCTGCTGCCCGGTTACGTAAGCACGTATGCACTAGAGCTGCGCGCAGTTTAATGTTCTGGAAGGCGTCCTCTCCCTCGAGACTGGAGGTCGCCGGCCAACGCCGCGCGGCCCCGCGGCAGCTTTTTATCATGCTACAACCGCGCGGTGTATAAAGACTGGCGCAGGCTGAGTAGCGTCAGACGAGGTCCGACCACGACCAGGGTCGCGACTATACACAGCTTACACAACGCGAGCGAGCCGGACTATCTTGTGGCCGAATATAAACATGAAGGTATGCCGAAGGAAAACACAAGGATGTTGATCGCGGGGAAAAACGTTACATTGGTGCTGCGACCCGGATCCAGACCAAGCGGATCTTTAACGCCAAACCGGTTACTCGTCTCAAATCAAGGTACGGCCATTGAAGCACAGGTTCTGATCCACGCGTCATGCAATTCGCTGGTTCCCCGGAAAGGAGTTATATTATTTGGCTTTTGGAACATGCGCCTGCTGGGAGATATTGAAGGACAGTTTTGCCATTTATCAGGGCGATATTTTGAAAAACCCCTATTCTTACCATTGCCCTTATCTGGAGAACATAAGGAAGAAAAGCAAGCACTTCTGGGGTTGTCGCAATCTGAGCAAGTGCGATTTTTATTTACTGTGCGGCATTTGCCCTGCTTGTAACTGGGACCGCATCACTACGTCCTGTTTTGCCAACCACCGTTGCTCCTGCCTTCCGTGCCTCGAACGCTGTTTTGGTTTGTCTTCGGCAAAACCTTCAGCAGCAGACCTTGAAAAATTGATAGAAAAACATAGAAAAATCCAGCGTCGCTGCACGACATATATCCAACAGCTCCCAAATCCGAATCTGTTCCATTCGGACTATCAAGCTCCTGACGTTTCGTTGATCAGTGAAGACACTACAGAAGAGAGCAGAAGAACTGCAATAGGAAAAGGAAACTCCGTTTACGTCAAAACGAGAGCGGTACGGTCCTCAGACCGCACGATCTTACCGCCTGAAACAAGAAGCGAGCGCTGCCGCCGACTTCTCGCTGCTTACAAAGCGCGGAAGACCCCGAGAATCTCCGCCGCTGCCGATCAGGCAAACGCTGCAACTCTCGAGACCACGACAGAGGGATCAACGCGGTTCGCGGACGTTGAACCGGAGCCCGACGCGCAGTCCCCCATCTACGAGCACGAAGGCCAGTACTGGTGATCCCCGGTGATACATCAGGCTACTCTCCATCAGTTAAGATGTCTGGCAGCCGGTGGTCATCCTGGCGCTATGCACCACATCCTCCTACCCCGTAAACCTTACTTCTGGCGATCCCGGATATGCATTGCTACTTATGGGTAAAACCAGTCCGACCTTCAACTCGTGAGCAATTACGCTTTCGGTAAATACCTCGTTGATAAAAAGACAGCTACGTTCAGTTCAAAATGCCACGCAAAACCTTAAGGGCTTTGCAGACTACCTTAACAACTATCTGGCAAGGTCAAATAATAAGTAAATCGCGTTATAGCACGCCTTGCAGATGTAATACACGGCGAAGCTCTTTACCCTTACGACGCTTTTCCTGAGATCCTGCGGAAGCCATTTGCCCGACGGCCCCATCGAGGCCTGATTAATGACATAGGAAACGCCATGCCTACTTCTTCGGTATCGCTACTGAACAGGAGGTAAATCGTCTCCAAGCCCTAGTCTCCGTCTTAGGCAAAGAAGTCTGTAGCTCAAAAACTGTAGGGGTTTAGGTCTAAAGAACGGCAGGGCTGTGAAATGCACCGAAGAAAGATGCTCAAGGTAGCTCTTTCATTTCAAAACTCCACATGAATGTGGAACACTCCCTTCAACGGCTGTTGACCTCAGGACCACTTTGACCACCGTTCCCTTCGCAACACTTCTACAGGTTCTGATGCCAAAACTGATGTCAGCACCGTTGGTGGCTTGGTTGGAGCATTGGGTACGAAGTCAGATACGGTGATCAAAAGCGGCCGCATAGATCGGCATCAGTAACACCGTAAACGAGAACACGCACTATTGTTCGTTCGACGAACGCAACTTCGCCAGGGATGGCCACTATCTGCTTTTGGGGTCGTGCGCTGTCGGTCCACTATACTTGTGTTGGTAAGCCTTGCTTTCGTCATGCGTTTGCGGTTGCGCTTGAATTCGCTTGCGTTCGTCATGAAGGCAGAGGCTGTCTCTCATTCCGCGAATCCGACCGAAATGGCTGTAAAACATCTGGCATACCTTATGGTAATTTGTGGGCATTCACAATGCTGTTTTTCAGACGCTTCTCATGATAATAAGCCTGACCCGTTGGCATCATCCACTTCCGATAAGGATCTACTGAAAGCGGCTGATGGCTTTCCAACTCGCTCGGTGGGCATGAATCCTTAGCAGTGTTCGTTGATGCTATGACTACTCTCCGTTGATGTGACGGTGCGTGCCAATGTACTGCAGCCACAATTAAGTCACTCGCGTATTTTCTTCGACACTGACCATGATATGGCCATTGCGGGGGGGGGGGGGGGGGGAAATAGATGCTGTTTCTATGGCGTCATATATCTCCGATCGGCTTCGAATTAAGCGGTGCAAATCAGTCTGTCAGTCAAATCAGTCATCGCATGCGCCTTATTCGAGATTGAAAGGATTCGAAGCCTCCATAAAGGCATAGATTTGAAGTGGTTTGAATGATCTTGAAAATAGCCCTTAGTTCCACCGCTAGCTTCTCCAATGGATTGACCATCTGCTTTCTCAGCCTGGAGCTGCCACTACCGTAAGGCAGCCTTCTCAAATCAGTTATCCCTTGGTTGCTGTATGAGGGGGTATTCAGTTATCCGCGGACCGGTCTGAAGTGTGGACCCCAAAATAACAACCACCCGGTGCGTGTGTCGTTTTTGGCGGAGACGATGTCAAGACTGGGTTTCTGAACAGTTATGTTACCTTTTTTTCGAGTTTCACGTTCAACAGCATATTATAAGATGAGGTATACGACTAATGCAATTTCAAAGTTGCAGAGACCATGGGAAAGGTTCGGAGCCCACAAAATAATTCATCCGTCCATACCAAGCTAGTATCGACAGGTTGTAGTCTAGCTAGGTAAATGATGTTTGCGATGCTGTATGATCTTTGCACCACTTTATAAACGGTGCTTTGCGATATTTGGCGATACGCAACAGGCTAAGAAATGAAGTTCAATTTGGCGACAAGGGCACAGCCACCTCCATGCCTTGGTCGAAATGCGGTAACTGTGTCCGTGCTTGATGTCACAGCAGTGCAGTTCCGCGTGCTCTCCGTTGAATTTACGTTAGTAACGCACATGAAAGAATGGAAAAGTTCATGATTCGCGGTCTAGATCAAGGCCAGTGCTTTCAGATGTTGTGTTCGTCGACCGTGAATACTGCAATTGCGAGTGTTGCGATCAAGGCGGTGTCTAGAAGCACGCAAAATGCCAGCATCAAGAGAATTCGCTTGGCTCGGCTTTGCCGGATCAATTGATCGTTTCAGACAAACTGGGTGCTCAAACTCACACTGATACGTCTGACTGCTTGACAAGGTCCTTCAAATGTCACGTGTGCAATATGTCGTCTCTGCTAAGCGATACCATTGCGTTCCATGTTTGCATTCACGCAAGCAAGACGCCAGGTGACCATGCTGGGAACCAGGCCGACAGCAGGCCGCTGAGCTGTGAAGTCTGTGGGAAGCAATTAAGATGTTGCAGTGTGACCAAGCATAACTGGACGCACACCGGCGAGAAGCTGTCCAATTGGAATTCTGTGGGAAGTCGTTCAGTCATAGAAGCCTTACTTACCGCCTCTGGACTCACACCGGTGAAAAACCGTTCAGGTGTGACGTCTGTGGTAAGGTGTTCAGTCCACACTGCAACCATACTTTCCACCTCCAGACTCACACAGGTGAAAAACCGCTCAGTTGTGAGATCTGTGGTAAGTTGTCCAATCACGGCAGGAGCCTTGCGTTGCATCTTCGTTACACACACACACCGGTGAGAAAGCGTTCAGCCGTGATGTGTAAGCGCACGGTGTGATTCATGCCTGGGGGAAAATGCGATCCATTGTGTAATGTGCGGTAAATCGTCATCCCGTAAAACAATTGCGAATGGTTGAACGTAGGCGCTCGTAGTGTTTTAAAACCGTTCTGCCGTGTTCTACCGTTTAAAACCGTTTTCTGTAGATTCTGCCCGGACATTTGTGGTTGACGCAGCGCGTGTCGAGTACGTTGCGTATTTAGCCAGAAATAAGGCATAAAATATGTTGTAAATTTGGTCTAGCAGTACCGTTACTGTTACCACTGCACAGCGCCAGTGGTTTATTGCTGATTGAAACACGCTGGAACGAGATGAGTGCACTCGTAGTTAGTTTTAGTTAACTGCTTTCTGGTGGTGACTTCAGCAAGGTGGCAAAATAAATCACGGTATAGCTGTGATCCATCCAGTGTTTTACCTGCGGCACATCTAGCATTGATGCGGATGCGAATACTGCGTGAATGTTCTTAAGCACTTGTGGAAGCGAGCGGATCGCTACACCAGCAGAAATGCCAGTAATTCTGGCAAACGTCCTTAAGTGATCTCTGATATGTTACATAAGGCGCCATGATGACCGTGATTGAACGTGAATTTCCATGATCTACAAGCAGTGGTGTGGCCAAATGAGCGCGTTCTGCGACGTTGTAAGAGTGAATCGGTGGCAACGTTAACAGCTTTGACTTCAAGTGTTAATTTACTACATCCACTAGATCTAATTTCCAAGTGGTTTGATTAGGGAGGGATATATATATATATATATATATATATATATATATATGTAGATATATACATGCTATATATATATATATATACATATAGCATGTATATATATATATACATACATACATACAGCTTTTATATACATGCTTCTGGTTCATGGCTGAAATATGGCAAGCTTTCGTTTCGGATCAACAGTATTGTGATTGTTGCTTGGAAATTGCACAAGCAAAGTTATAGCTGAGGCTGCCAAAAAGCCTTGCAAAAATGTTGCATGCCGCTCTTTTTAAAATTTGAGACTGTCTGTAGCAATTTGTGTGGGATGTGCTGTGTTTTCTCATGTTACCATTTTTGTACGAGCGATATGACTCACTGACACAACGTTGTTAGAAATGATCGGCTCTTGATTCAACCCATAAAGCTTACGAAACATTTGATCCAGCTCATAACCCAAAGCGAAATGTTTCCTAGTGATCGACTCAGCTCCACAAAGCGATTGGCTAATGAGCCGAGTCATTATTCAGCTCGATTTGAACATGAATCTGCTCATAGTAGGATAGTAATTTACTTGTAATGGCCATGTTTTCCCGCTCTGTAAGAGCTTGTGAGGAACCGAACTCTGATAAGTGGCCTGGCCCCAGTGTGCATTGACTTGACCGTACCCGTTAGGTGGAGCCGCGCAAATGAGCCTGGCCATGTCTTGGTCGGGAGCCCCGGCCGAGGAGCTTGAGGACCTTAGCTTCCTGCGCTGTTATACCCGACCGCTCCTCAAAGATATCTCAGATAGGAAGGTGGGAGATGCACACATGCTAGTTTCGGTTCACCGTCCTAGGCTACCTTGATGCGACCATTTTTTCTCGTCGGGTGATTAGCCTGACTGGGGCCCAGCCTAACTGCCAACTGGGGCTCAAAAGTTCGAAAGATTCGATTGGGGTAAATTCCCCGGATGGCGGCAGCCTTCATGCAGAAAGTAAAACAGTGATCTGGATGTGTAGTTTTCAGTCCGTCTGGTGCGTCCGAAGATATGAATGAGTTCTTTCGCCGAGTGCTTTATTGGCGTCAAACGCGATGGACCGTCCTCGAATAGCTTGCTTCCTGGACGTTATATTACCGCCGCCGCTGGTGAATTACCTTCAAAATGAGACATTACCAAAGTTCATTTATTCAGTGATATTGTTTTTGATTTTGAAATTACTTGAGCCGCCAAACGTGCTGTAATACATGCAGTCGCTCATGTCCGTTACCATGCGTACAGCCGGCCCCGCGTGAAAGGTGTGTCCCCGTGACGTCACAGAAGGATTTCTCTTTGAATCACCTTGACGTGACGTCACTACCTGGTTTGTTTTGCTGTGGTAAGTGGTATATTTTTTAAGGTATGCCGGTAGGATCGGTGTCTGAAACTTGGGATTTCTTGGTGTTTTTTTTTTAGCCCCAAGACATTTTGTTCCCGACGAACATACACTGGAAAGAATGTAAAAAATCGTTCCCTGTGAGGGACGTCAGATGGAGGCAAGCTATTCCTGCAACTTCGACAGCATCACGTGCCATACTCAAGACTGAACGAGGGGCACAGCGTGCGAGTTACAGCCGAATCTCTCTACCATTTCACACACAATCTTTCCTTGCAATGCATTCAGTGCCCAGGTCTGCTGCTGCTCACCAGCACATGTTTAACCCACCTACCGTCCAACAACCATACCGACGCGCTCATACACCGGGCTCGGGCTCGCACCCAACACAACGACAGCGTCTCTTGACGGACCAGGGAGAAGCGCAGAGAACATCTCGGACACGGCACGATTCAAAGTTTCTGGATTGCATGTAGAAATCAATGTTAACACCAGAAAAAATGATACGAAAGTATGTGTCACACATGTACCTCTAGATACGTACCGGTGGAGAGACTGGTTGGTGGTGTACGTAAAGGTAATATATAAATTTAGCTCATTGTCCTACACCATAGGCGGATCCTGGGGGGGGGGGGGGGGGCGGCACGGTGCCATGACCCCCGAACCTCTAAGAGTGTGTTTTGGCCCCCCCCCCCCAAACATTCCCCGAACTTCATAGAAGTTTCGTCTGCTTACCGCCTGTTTTAACGTTAACTGTTTTAACTGTTTTGTTCTAACTTCTGTTCAAGATTCAAAAGCGTCTCGGTGCTTTTTTTGGGGGGGGCGGGTTCAATGGTGTCCCCACCAGGTACTCGCGAAAGGCACCATGGACTGGACACCGGATCCCACACCAGCCAGCTGGCGACAAACGGTTGCCCCCCCCCCCCCAAAAAAAAAACAACAACTCCAGGCTAGATCCACCCCTGGCTGAACATATCGCAAATAATCGTAAAACAGGCCATCTTAACTGTTTCTTGGAACTTAAATGACTACGCTAACGGACATCCGAGCGATGCAAAATGCAGCAACCGCGGCCCCGGCGCCACTGCTACGTGTGGCCACCGGGCTTTGTGTGGTCACAACCTTAGTGTGAATCAAGAACCATAAAAATGTATGGGGCCGAGGTAACAAGAATCCAATGCAATGCGTGTCTTGCGTATACAAGCAGTCTTCCATAGTCTTTGTAAATTGGTCGACATTATGCAAATATGACGTCCTTGGGTGGGAAATGAAAAGCAAAATGACAGCATGGCGGCGAGACAAAACTTCTTAATACGGTACATATGTGTGGCGTGGAACACGGACGACAATGGGGCACTGGGTTGAAGGGGATGGGATGGGGATATTAGGTTAGGTTAGGTTAGGATAGATTAGGTTAGGTTGGGTTAGATACGCCTGGGTTAGGTTAGATCGGGCTTTTTGAGGCTACGTTCCGGTTTATTCTGGCATGGCTGTTGGCAAATCTACCTACACGAGGTAAGAAACGTTTTTCATTGCGTCTCTTATTGTTAACTTGGCCCCGTTCATTTTTTATCATTCTTGACGTGCAGTAATGTGAGCACGCGCGAATAATACAGCAGCGATGGGCGTCCGAGGCTGTCGATTGTGTGCGGGTTTCTGGATCTCGCTATCGTCATTAAAATTCGGAAGGTAGGAGCATGAATCTACCTGTTTTATGATTATTTATGGTATATTCGGTCTTAAACAAGAGGTATGACATACAGTGCTCTTTTAAACATTAGGTAGAAATGTATACCTACACTCATTTCCATCATAACCTTAGCATTATGTCCTCCGGGAATGGTGCAACAGGTGCGCAACATTTTAAGCATCTAATTCCATCAGTCCTTATTGGGACTGACATCTTTACAATAGAATCATCAATATCAACAACTTACTATCAGCTCCATAGCTTTATAAAAATACAGTAGGTGCAAGCATAGACCAAGGAAGGGAGCACTTGAGAACCTAGAAAATTTAAGAATTGTAAGCAGACAATTTCTGATCGTCTTTGGCAATCACTGAGACCAGTTAGAGCATGGTGCTAACTGTCACTGGCTGCCAAAGGATGCCCTTTAGTGCCAGCTGTGAATGCAGTGCAAATTCACCTGGGTCATTTTGTTCCCACTACAAGCTGTGATTTTAAAATTTTGGTTCTCCCCCAAGAGCCAAAACCAAATTTGAGATGCTGGATGGGATACCCCTGAAATGTCCCCTGCCTGTAATGGTATATAATGGTTAATTTCTCAAGAATGTGAATTGATCTACAGTGTTGTTCCAACATCAAGTACTTATGTCCATAGTGAGGTAAATACATCCAGTACAGTGCACAGAATGTAATGCATTTTTACCAGAAACATAGCTGTTGAGCAGCCTCCCCACAAAATTTGTTCATGCTAATCTATGGCCATTTGACCTGTCAGGTCCATTTGTATAACCTGAGGCACTTAAATTTGTGGGATTTTTTACCACCCGTTGCAATGCTGATTGCCAGGCTGTGCATGGCGAGAGGCTAAGCCAATAGAACGCTGGGGAGAGGCAGTGTCTACAGGCAGTGAACTTAAGTCAGGAGTGTAGTGGCATGAAGAAAGTACTTGACATCTCTCCCACTGATGTGACCAAATGCAAAGGACAGCTGCCACCACTATCAGTGCACCTTTCATGTAGCTCCCTTTTTCTCAGCATGACACTATGCAGGATGGCTTTTGCTTCTTCGTGCCCCAGTGCCCATGCTTATGTTCCGTCATCTTAGCCATGAAGTGTATGAGATAAGATTCAGGAAAGCAAGCTGTGGTCAACTGTAATGGTTGAATTTAAAAGAAAGGATAATTCTTGCTGGTCTCTTATGTGTGTGGAGGTGTATATGGGCATGCCACTGTCAAACAAGTTTGGGAGAAAAGGAAGATTTAGAAAATAGGAAATATTAATGAATTGTCTGCTTGATCCAGCCTTGGTTGAGAAGTTTCAGAGATAGGCACTGGCCAACAGGAGTTCAAGGGAATGGCTGACTCTGAAGACCTGAGCAAGCCACACTTGAAGAAGCATGCCCAGCATACAGGCCAATATACAGGCACCAGTCAGATCAAGAGATGCTCAGTGGTGCTCACACCCTTGCCAGCATCCATGTGTCTAAAGGTGTGTTGTACTCTTGTGGCAGGCATTTTGTGTGGAATACTTCACACTTTTAGGTATGTATTGGGAGATTTGCTCTGTAAGGATGTTATGAAGTATGAAGTATTGTTTTTTTGGAAATGATGATGCATTGCTTTTGTACAAGGTGTAAATCCTGGTTTTGTATGACTTGCTTCAAACATTGGTAATTCATGCAAGCAAAATGTCATTGAACAGCAGCCAACACTGGTATTATGGATGTTTTCAGTTTAATCTACCTGGTAGCATATATCATCTATGCACTGCATACATTCCAAACATTTTACAATAACATGTTGCATGTTGCTGTTTGTGTCTTCTTACTTATGATTCTCCTCCAGCACATTTATGCATGTCAGAGGATTCGCATGTGTGCATGATGACCATACAAGGAAAGATGTTGCAGACCAACAAATAGGGGACACAAAATGCAAAATGTGCCATGCTCATCAAGTACTTTAATTTATTTGAGCATTGCACCAAGCAGGATTTCCCAAGGAAGGATCGTTATGAGAAATGTATTGTATGTGAAGCTAAACATGTTTTTTTGGATGACCTCATGTTCATTGTCCTCCAATTACTACCAAAATGGTTGCTTTTGCGCAGGAGACTGCACCACAGAGAAGCAGTGCTACCTGCTGCCGAAATGGGCAAAAAGCAACACATCTTTGTGATCGTCCACCTTTGCCACCATATAACTTTCCAGGATTCAAAAGCCAGGAAATCTGTGGGTGAGTAAAAATCTTACTGCTCTTTGTTTTGATTTTTGATTTCATTTTGAAAAGTGGCAATGGGTGATTGACTGAGTGAGTGACTGTGATTTAGATAGGCAAACATGAACAGATGTTGGTTAAGACTATGATTTCAACACAAGAAATGTAAAAACCCCATTGCTTGACCAGAAACGATATGTGATTGTTGGACATGTCCGTGAAGTTGGCGGTTTTTCAGCTATTTGTTCAGTGACAGGTTGTCATTTCACTGAAAACACGTTTGTTGATCAAACATGGAACAAGAACATCGAAAATGCTTTTTATTTGAGGGACGCCATTTCCCCCTCTCGTACAAATTCTGACTGCTTGTAAATTGAGAAGTTGATGGTAAATTTTGTGCGTGTGGATTTCTACGTACTTTTGTCTTCAAGGCCGCACTACGCTGCAAAACAAGTTCTAAAAAGTCAAGGTTACCTTGCAAGGCCAAATAAGGAGCTCTAAGGACCAGGAACTCCAAATCACCAAAATCCACCGGTCGATTTAAACATTGTGAGCATTAGATTACTCATCAGCGCGAGGCACCATGTGCGTAAAAGGACCTAACACTCAAGGTCTTTTTTCATGGTCAAATCAACGCTTAAACGTCAGGGGACTTGTTATGACTTAAGAATTACCGGCTGATTTCGGACTGTGAAGCACCAGAATGATCACTAACGCTTAAAGGGAGTATTCCATATTTCTATGGAGTTTTTAACTCAATAGACATTTAAAAGCTCTTAAGTCCCTCTAATTTCCGACGATTTGAGTGAGTTTGACCTCGAAGGGTGACCTGTATGGGTCAGGATTTTTTGGCTGACGCCATTTCTTGAATGGCGCTGGTCAATATTCTGATGTTCAAAAAGTCGAAATCAGCCCGTAATCTTTCGGCGATGCTGAATTCCCCGTGAATTGACATTGAATTTAACGTTAAAGGGCATCCTGTATTGCAAAGAATGCGCATTTGCGACGCTGTTATGCCATAACTGACCGCCTGACGTGCTTTCAGAGAAATCGAACATCATTACTGAATACATCGCTGAAGAAATCGCTGAAGAAATTGCTAATATCAGAAACGTCTGTTGGACCACAATGCCATGAATCGTATGCATGTTGCAGACCATATGAAGTGATGACTGGGAGTTACCAGTCACTGGCTCATGGTGGAGATGCTGATACTAAGGATACTACGGATACTACGCAGTTCATGTGTGGTTTTGAAATATCAACAATCCACAGACCATCAGTTTTAGGTAAGTTTAGTTCTAGAGTCACAGATGGCTGCACACTGATCATTGGAAACTGAAAATTGATGTGTTTGCTACTTTACATTACCTTACATCGGAGGTGCGCAGGCCTCTAGTGGTGGTGTCGAGGTGTCATCACCTATTGGTACGGGTCATCAACATCCAGATGTAACACATATTCGTGATAATTCGAAAACGTCTCGAAAAATCGCTGCGAAATTCTTGGAGATGTGAACTGATTCTTCGCCTATTGCGAAAATGATGACTATAAAACCATAATAAATCAACTGCGTGTGACGTCTGAGCAACGTGATGTTTGCCAATTGTTTGAACAAAAGAGCGTCGCCGTTGACAAATTGGCACAGAACCCGAACGAGAGAGCATATTTCATATCTATAAACGGAAAATGTGAGAGACTTAGGCCATAATCCATATGCTTTGTCGTTGTGTTGTTTCAGTGTTGCACATTTAAATTTTGGGATGTCAAATAACAAAAATATTGATTGAAGTGTCTTAAACATTTGTTGGTCTCTAGCTCGAAGTGATGAAAACATCTGAGAGTTGTCCTGACTGCGACCATGAGTGGTGCCTGACCCACGTTTCAAGCAACTATCTGTAACAGTGAATCAGTCATGGCTTGGTTTGAAAGGCATCACAACGCATGTCGCCCTTGGCCAGGTGGGCCTGGCCCCGCGGCGGCGGGCGGCGGGGCTTGGGTCGTCCCCATTGGCGCGGTGACGAGGCGACGGAAAGCGCTTACCAGTTCCACATGCAAACCGACGACCACGTGACTAGCGGCGAGGTCGATTTTTATTTCGTTGCGCTATCCGCAGGACTAAACCGTCGAAAGCAACGCAGATATCGATCCAATCTCTTATTCACCAACAAGGTCATCGCCATTCGATCTTGACCTTTGCGGTTTATGTACAAATGAAAAAAACAGCTCTTGTTCACGTGTCTGAAACCTGTAATGACGGTTAAGCTCTTCCATTTCGCGTTTAGATGGTAAAATAATGACGGAAAGAACTGGACCAAAATTAACATTGTGTTATGCGTAACACAGGTATGTCTTGCATAATACTAGGCATAACTGTGGAAAACAGCCAGTTCCATTGCGCCGAGTGAAGTGAATTGTAGATATTGCGAATTGTGCGTGATGTTTTGAAGAGACGCTGTTATGCTTCGAATGCCGGCAGCTTGCCGCAGGACGTGTGCAGCGCGTCTGTATTGTCCTCCAGAATGGTTCCATCGTACGTATTGATTGATCAAGGAAGGGGTTGGTGGGTTACAAAGTC